TATCGGATATTTGGATTCTACGGTGTTTTAATTGAATTGCAAGTTATCAGGATGTTAAAAAATGTTACTTCAGTACAGTAAAAGTCTTATAATGTTGTTGTGGATATTCTGTGATAATTTGGTAAATTTATCAATCTGTGATTTTTGTGTAAATGTCGTATACTGCCGTTATGCCGTTGATTTTTCGTATGAATTCTGATTTTTCTGAATTGATACATTAAATGAATTGAATTGTTTGTATGCTATCATAAGGGAGTTATAAGGGGCTAGGATCCTTTGAGATTTTGTCTGTGTCAAAGAAATCTGAAATGAGCTCTGAAATCTAAAAATAAGTTCTGTTCCGGAATTCCGAATATCTGTTCTGTTCTGGTGCTATAAGCACAAAGGGAGGCATAAGGGGCCAGAATCCGTCGAGATTCTATCTGTGTCAGGGAAGGGAGGGATAAGGTGCCAGAATCCGTTGAGATTATGTCAGGGTCAGGGAATCTGATGTTTGATATCTAACAATCTGTTCTTATTTTATGAATTATTTGATATGAACGTGATTATGATTCTGGTTATTCCGTATGATTCTGTGTGCTCTGTGACATGAAAGCTTTATAATATATGTTCTAAATTCTGATTTGAAATGACTTCAGTTTTCTGTATCAGTTGTTTGATTTTTGATTGATCAAGTATCTGTTCTGTCTTTTCTATGATTTTCGTACGGCTATTTTCTGATGTATTTTCTGATGTGAATTTCTGATTATTTGGATTGGTGAGTGATGTCTTGCTGAGCTGTTAGCTCATCCTTATTTTCTGCGTGGTTTTCAGGTTCTGGGAAAGGGAAGGAGGTCTTGGACTAGAAGTTCTGTGTCTGATCTCAGATTAGGTATTTTGTACTTTTGATTTTTTGTACAGTCATGGTTTTTCTGTTCTGTTCTGTTCTTTCTGTATGAAGTCATGTACTGTATCTATATATGATTGTTTTGATGAAAGAAAAGATAGATGAACTGTTCTGTATTTGGATGTTTTATAGCAGCTCTGTGTTTTTCTGTCTATACGATATTTGGAAGAAAGTTCTGAAGCAAATTCCAAAGCTAGATCCTGGATTTCTATGGCTCCGTCGCGACTCGATGCAAGCGGGATCCGTCCCGATCGGGTTGGATGGTGACACGATGCTCTACTCAAGGCCCGACATTCTGCTGAATGCCTGACATTCTGCTCAAGGCCCGACATTCTGGCCCGACGTTCTGCTGAAGGCCCGACGCTCTGCTCAAGGCCCGACATTCTGCTCAAGGTCCGACGTTTTACTGAAGGCCCGACGCTCTGCTCAAGGCCCGACATTCTGCTCAAGGTCCGACGTTTTACTGAAGGCCCGACGCTCTGCTCAAGGCCCGAGATTCTGCTCAAGG